CTTTTGCGGCTTTTGCGGCCGGAGGACTAAACACTTTTTCGAAAACCTTTGGTATCGACGGAAATCAATAAAATCTTCTGTCCGCGTCTTCTTTTCGGGAGGCGTGGCTTATGTAGGAAGAACGTCTTGGAGCTTTTTGGATGTGGCTTCAGGAATAATTTAGGACACATCAAATAAAATATCTGTACATACTTCTACATTGACTAAGTGTAGGAAACAACAATGGGTAGCAGACAAAATAAGCTTCATCTTCAGTGATAACGGAGATCTTTGCGATCAGACAAGCGCAGAGAGAAAAGATGATTGCATTGAAAATCATCATCATTGTAAGCTTATGCCAGACAGTTGTAAGGCTGTTATAACAGAGATACGGAAAAGTGCTTATAAAAACTTATTGTAAAAGAAAAACAGAAGAGGACGTGGGGGAAGAACCAACGAAAAAGATAATAAGACTATATTGAAAATCATCAATGAGAGCAGACATAGGAGCACAAATGATCCGATAGTTGAAATATGGTGAAAAGATTACAGAGTGAAAATGGCAAGAAACAAATGGCTCATCCAAACCCGTACTTTTAAAGAAAATATATCAGATTCAAATGCTAAAACAAAATACCTTTTAAAAAGTAGTCTATGTATTCGAATATTCAACTAGCTATTTAGTTTAGTCGAGCGATTAAGTATTCCCAATTGGATATAAAATTGCCACTGGCACACATGGACTGAAACCCACAAAAAGCTTTTTGCTAAATAATGTATCGTTCACAGGTTTATGCGGTATATAAAATGAAGCAAATTCAGCCTTCGGTTACCGAAATGCATTTGCATTGAAAAGTAAATTACACCGAATATCATCAAGTATTAGATATTTATAGATCTGGAAATAATGAAATTATACAATGAGCCAACATAAGCGTAGATGTTATCTCTTTAAAGAGAATGTATTCATTGTATGCAAAATAGTTTAATGTAGCTAATGAAAAAATATAAGAGTAAATAAAACAAATTTATCTATGTATGTGTAATTTATTGAACTTATGTCTAGAGTGTTGAATGAATGTACAGTAGATATATCTTATAACATGGCAAGTTAAGTCCACTACTACTTATTGCTTTAACAAATTCATCAGAAGATCATTTTACCTTCATCCATTAGTGCCATATACATGGTGATTGATTAGTGTGAGGAATCTCGGTAGATCTGTTATAGTAAAAATTACAAAAAAAAGTTATTGACAAAAATTGTAGGAGCTTTAAACTCCACATTTTAAAATTAGTTACAATCTTATAGGGTGTTCCATAAGATGGTGGCAGACCAAACTTATGTCTTTTTAAACGGAACACCCTGTATTCTATTTTAATTTGAAATCTGCTTCACTTCCACATCACAACAATGTAAAGTTTTATTATGTTATACCGGGTATTTAAAAAGTTATAACCAATTTTACCTGAAAATCGTATCAAGTAACTCCCTGTATAATTAAAAAGGGGTATAGGAACATTGATCTATTACAACCATAGTTTTTTAATAATTGTTAAAAATTATAAAACATTTTCGTTTGCAACATTGTCGCTTTTCGCGACAAAAATTATGTGCAATTTGCTCTTCTACCTAACGATGAAGAAAGAAAAACTGTAGTAACAAGAAGGTTGGAAGTATATCCAATGCTAAAAGAAAGGAAAAAGGAAGGTGAATACTGGACTTCATATAAAAAATTAATTGATGACGATGAAAAATATTATGGATATTTTAGAATGAATAAGATTCAGTTTGAATATATTTTAAATATAATTACACCTTTAGTTAAAAAACAAAATACTACATTTAAACAAAGCCATACATATCAAACCAAAGAGTATTTTTTAAAAAAAAAAAGGTATCACTTCCGTGCAAAAGTTCTAATGTTTATCACTTTCGTGTTTAATTGTCACAAAGCAATGAAATACACGCATAAATGACAAAATAGCCTCGAAAATTATTTTTTTTAAATACTAGGTTTAAAAATCAAACAATTACTTGTCAACTCATTCACATTACTCGTTACGTAGCCGTTGGCATCAGTAAAATATTGTTTTCGAATATACTGAACGGAAACGTTAGGTGTCTGTTACGATACGTTCTGGACAATGTGAGTTATTCATATTCAAAACCATTTAAATTATTCTTCTTCTTCTTCGCGTGCCATATCAGAATTATCCGACCTTGGCGATCACCATTGCGAAGGCTTCTCGATCTTCTGCAATATGGAATTTAGCCAAGAAACTTGTTTTTTTCCTACACCTCTGGAGGGGTGCCGGTTTTCAACATCCCTCCGGGGAGAGTCTTGTATGCTAACAGTGTCTCTTTCAGCGGGTTTGTACTTGCTGTAAGTCCAATTGGTCCGCTAGCCTTCGACAGCTCAGTAAAGAAACTTACATGGACTTTTAAAGGTGCTTTAATCTGGCCTATTGAATAGATATAAAGTGAAATAAAACAATTGTTTGTTTAGCTAGAACTGTAATTGAAGAAGGGCAAGAAATAGAAAGGTATAATCTGTGAGTGAATAACTACACATTTCGAATGCTTCTAACTTGTTTAGCATTGTGGTTTTTAACGTCCATGTCTCACAACCATACAATAGGATCGACCACACATAACATTTCAGGACCTTCTTACGAATGTTCATTGACAGGTTTCTGTTGCATAAAACTGGTTTCCAGGTCATAAAAGCCTTACGTGATATTTCGATCCTGGATATTATCTCTTCATCAGAGTCACAATTTACATTTAACCAGCTGCCAAGGTATTTGAAATGATTTACCCTTTCTATCTCTTCTCCATTAAGAGAAAGCAGACCTTGATCTATATGGATCTTTCCAACTGCCATCCACTTTGTCTTTGAAATGTTGATTTTTAGGCCTCTCCGATAACTTGCTTCACTGACTAGATTTAGTAATGTTTGGAGATCTTGTAAACTTTCTGCAAGAATGGTTGTATCGTCAGCGTATCTAATATTGTTGATTACTTCTCCACCTAGTCTTACTCCCTCTTGTCTGTCATCCAAAGCCTCCCTAAAGATTTCTGCAGAGTACAGATTAAAAAGAGTGGGTGACAAAACACAACCCTGCCGTACTCCACGTTTGATGGGTATTTTTTCAGTGGGACTGTCTCCAATTTGGATAGAGGCTACTTGATTGTAATATAAGTATTTCAGCAGTCTTATATCATAGTGGTCAAGTCCTGCTGCCCGTAGGCAGTCGAAAAGTGTATTGTGTTGGACTCTGTCGAACGCCTTCTCGAAGTCGATAAAACAAACATAAACATTCTTTCGGAATTCACAACTTTTTTGGTTTTTTTCATCGGTGTAGTTATCTCCAATTTTTACAATAGCAGTTTGATTTCAGTACAAATTTTTAATGACATGAATATCATTGTAATCTATTCCGATATTTTTCAGTATTTGCATTAATTTTACATGCTGTACTTTATCGAATGCCTTTTCGAAGTCCACGAAACATGCAAATATAGATTTTCGTTGGTCACGGCATTTTTGTAATAGGATGTTAAGTGTAAAAAGTGCCTCCCTGGTTCCCATAGCATTTCTAAAACCAAATTGGGTATCTTCAAGATCTTCTTCTTCTTGTTCAAGATTTGCGTCTAATTCTGTTGTGAAGTATTCTGAGGAAAATTTTAAGAGTGTGGTTCATTAGGCTAATTAATCGATATTCTGAGCATTTTCTCGCATTGTCTTTTTTAGGTATTGCGACAAAGATGGATTTGAGTAAATCTGCGGGAATCACTCCGTTGTTATATATTGAATTAAAAAGTCTTACTACTACTTTTATGTTATCATTCTTTATTAGTTTCAGTAACTCAGTTGGTGTATCATCTGGACCACAAGCTTTTCTAATTTTAGCATTATGTATGGCGTGTTCTACCTCGCATTTTATAACTTCTGGGCCGTCAGTACAGTTTTTGTAGAATTCGGCAATATTATTCTTGTCATCTTCAAACAACTCTGATATATACAGCTGTCATTCTTTTCTTATTTCGTACTCATTTACAATAATTTTGTTATTATTGTCATGAGTACAGAGGGAACTCGTTTTTTAAATATGTTACTCATTTCTTTTAGTTTTTTTGTGCACCATAAAATAAATCGTGTTTAGATATTACATCCTCCATTTCGTCGCACCTTCCTCTCATCCATTTTTCATTGGCTAATTTGATCTCCTTTTTTATTCTTCTCTGCAGATATCTATATTCTGATACATTAGGTTTATCAGTCGACGTTATTCCATTAATTTCAAGATGTCGTCTGTCATCCATTTATTTTTCTTGATTAAGTTTTTTCTATAATCATTGTTTGTGGAGATTTCGTTAACTTGGTTTTTAAATTCACTCCATAGTTCTTCTGGATCTTCTAGTTGTTCTCCGATGTTTTTTATTCTATTGTTAAATTCTTTTTTAATGTTTTGTTTTATGTTTATATCGTCAAAGTTAAGTTCATTGGTTTTTTGTTTTTGTCGCTGAATTCGTTTTAACTTTAGTTTAATATCTGCTACAAGTGGTTGATGATTAGATCCAATATCTGCCCCAGGTTATGTAATGACTTTTTTGACGGCATTTCGGAAATGCTCATTTACAAGTATATAGTCTATTTTATTTCTTGAAGACTGAGGGTTATTGCCATCATCCAATGGAGCTTTCCAAGTGTATAGTCGTCGCTTGGGTAGTTTATACCAGGTATTTGCAATGATCATATTGTTTTCTTTACAAACTTCATACAATATCTGTCCTCGATAGTTAGGTTGTCCTAAACCCTGAGGACCTGACCTCGTCGACCTTCCCCAGTTTTTGCATTGAAGTCGCCTATAATATATAAAATTTCATATTAAGAGTCTGTAAGATGTCTTGTATCTAATCAAACAATTTCTCGACTTCATCGTCATATTTTCTATCTGTAGTCGGGGCATAGTATATTAATCACCTTAATCTGTTGTACTACCCCTTCTCATATATGTTCAGGGCACCAGCAATGCTGTTACCTCACGAATCTACAGTAGCTCATGAGCAACATTTCATTATGGAGATGAACAAGGAGTACAGTATGGTTACCCCACAATCTTCAATCGAAACCAGAGACAAGAAGCCCTTGGAGCGATCCCAGAGTCAAATTCCTCACGTACATCCCGCCACGCCTCAGTCGGTCTCGCATACTCATGACGAAGATTTCTCTGATGACGATAGCGAAGAAAAATTATCGAGAAGTGAAAATAACAATCTACCAACAACCAATTCGCTACACAATTCAGAAAACAAGGTCAAGGTTGATAGCCCCGCACAATAGGTTTTCGGTGTTTTCATAGAGAGGTAGATACCTTCACTAGCTGTTAACAACCGAAATATTTTAAAAAACACGCCTCTTATAGATAGGTATTTTGTTATGTCAATTGCCCCTTGTCATATTTTTACAGATATGATGAAATATGATTGTAAGTTTAATAGTATATTAGTTTTAAATGGTTGAGTATTTATTTGAAGTAATATTATTCTATCCCAGACTGGTACAAAATTGGTCACATATGTACTCAGTTCTGATGTTAGTCACCATTTTTGTGATGCGTGTCTTCTCTGCTGTTACCGGAATAATAGTCCTTTTTACATGATCCTGACTCTGGCCATCTCATTTCGCTGATTCTCAGTACATCTATTTTCATTATTTTCATTTCTTGAACTACGTTGTCAAGTTTCCCAGCCGCAAATAGACTTCTAACATTCCACGTGTACATTCTAAAATTAGATTTCCTTATTTTTCGGATTTCTTCATGAGGTTTTCGTATGTTTACGACCTGAGAGGCGTCGTGGTATAAATATGTTTCTCCTCTCCTGCCGAATCTTGGCCTTCGCTTTCCATGATTAGTAAGGTTTGCAATTGCAGTGTCAATTCTATGGTGATTTTCCTGGGGGTGCTCTATGAGCCGTTAATGCAGTGGTTCCCCTTTGCCTTCTGCATCCTTATGCCGTTGACCATTATTTGTTGATCCATTCGCCTTCGCGGCCGATTTCTCAACCCCAGGACATAAGAATGCCCTACCACTCACCAACTCATCCCCTCGTAAGCCGTTGGTCAGTAAGTGGGGGATTGCTTATACCAATTTAAATTATATTTTTCGGAAACTAAACGCTACGTGCTGGAAACTCAACATGCACGATAATATACCTTAGGGGTAAATTTTTTATAATTGTTTAAATAAGTTGACAAGGAGTCTTCTTTTAAAACTTTACATTTTAAGGAATATCTACATAACTCAGAATACTATAGTCTTATAATGGTATAGGGAACCCTTATGAAACTACACCTTATTTTTTATGGATAATTAGCAAATATAATAAAATACCGGGTATCCCATAAGCAAACGTATAACTTTGATACTCTGCAATTAGTTAGGACACTCTATACTCTACTCTATGCATATGTTTCAAAATAATTTGAAAATCTAGCTTTTATCAACTTACAAAGTATTAGTGTGACAAAATTTGTCTTAAACGGTAAAGTATTTTACCGTTTCCCTGTAATCTTCCGTTCCGTTACTGGTGACTTACTCTTTGTATTATGTAAATATATCAGTCTCATCACATCACACCATAAAGAACATTCAAATGTTATCCTTCGCATTATTTGATGTCACAAATTCTCAAATAAACGGATAACAAGTTTCCAAAGTTCGGAAATTAGTCGTTTATACGAACTCTCCCAAGAGATATCGCGTGCTGAGGCCAGCTTGTTCGCTAGTTAGTGTCCCTGGACAAAACATCTTTGAGACTAAAAACCCAGCTAACACGCCACGTTAGTGTTAATTCCCTAACATCGTAATTTAAGAATAATTTAATTATTTGGAGGAAGAATGGATTATCTGTCGACACACGCAGACGGACTGCAACATCAATATTTAATGGTGCATTGCGAAACGGAACAAATCAAACACATAAACAACTCCCAACTGCGTGACGTTGTGTTGAGTTTTTGATGAAGTGTCTGTCACAAGCTTAAGTTCAGGATAACTACCGTTTAATAATTTATAGGTGTGCCATATGTATATCACACCCATAAGTACCGTGTTGCTTTAACATTGTTTATAGGACATGAACAAAATAAAACAATAAGGTATATCAAAATTGAAATAAGAGTCAAATAATTTATTTTAATTCTTATTTTAATTTAAATTTTTAATTGAGCAAACCATTTTAGAATTTTTTTAAGTTTTTAACATTGACAATTTATTTGGACCTAATTACAATGGTGAACTGAGAGATTGATTCTATTCGTGGTATAATTCCTATCTGTAGAATGTTGCCAAAGTTGCGAGCTTCAAGTTTTTAAATTTCTACAGGTCTGAATTTAATAAGACATTCGGTTCCTTAAAGTGTTTGACGAATCAGCCAGACCTGAGTAATATACATAGGCTTAATCACTCATCTTTCCGCGTATTTAACACGTTAACCCACCGGTCGGCAACAGGTGGACCGCGAAAGGTTGAACTGCGGACCGATCTGCGGAATATCTATTGCTGAGTCAATCAAGTTCAAAATAAAACTGCTGTGAATTTTCAAATAGGTTGTGAAATGATAAATGAACTTAATAACAATAACTGGAATATATAAATCTGGGGAATTCGGTTCAAAATCTGGCAAATTTTGGGGGATAAAACACAATTTCGGGAAAAATTTATAGGGCTCGTAACACTGCTGCCCACTGACCGATAGTGGTTCACTAGTTGGTCAGTGACACGCATGTAACGCACTACTACTACCTACGTTAATATGGACCCGAAAAGATGAAAAGTGGACAGTGAAAATAGGAACTTTCTGAACAATATTGTTTTACTCTGCCATTGTGTTTCAGACTGCTTGAATCGTGCCTACCGTGGAAACCTCCAGGACTTTGCGGAATGTTCCCCAGAAGCAATTGAATGGCTATGTAAATTGGACATTAATATTTAGTGTCATTCATTCTATTCATTCTATTTTACTATTTTTAGTGTTTGAATAATATATATAATATATATGTGTATATTATTGTAATTGTATTTGTATATTTATCGTACTGTGAAAGTCCATACGCTAAATAAATAAATAAATACACTGCCTGATAGGCCGCAAGCGGTTCCGATGTGCCTTATATGCAATAAAACTAGTGGAAATTTGAAGCGACACTAAGAAACAACTCATCAGCAGTTCCACAAAAACTTTCCTTATGGCAGTCAGGCGCGTAAAGAAAAACTTCGAGTATATCTTAATTCTTACGAGAAAAGCAGAGAACTCCTATTTCGTGATATGAGCGACTAAGAAAAATCCACAGAGGCAGCATTACGAGACTGCTGGATTATGAAGAAATGTATGTTGGTATAGACTCGTTCCTGGCGTGTGCGTGTAAAAACACTTACAATGAGTTGTTTCATCTGTCTTTCCTTGTCTAAGCTCGATTCGTTTACCTCCTCCAGTGGCAGCTATCTGTATTCGTAAAGAGGCCGAACTTATCACCGACACTGTATCGACCAAACGCATCGGTGTTATTGCTACAATACTGGGAGACGTGAGTGGTCTCTTCATTCTCTTCTCAGCGCACTTTACCATGACGAATGTGACTCGCACAATTGAATTACGCATCTGTGTATCAGAGAGAGACGAATATTAAAAATTCCGTAGTAGCTTATTTCAGGCACACGCCAAGAACGATGAAACCGAGTTTAGTAGCTTAATCACTTTTTGAAGAATAAAGATGTTGCCTCAGCAATTCAAAGCATGTCATTGTCAGCGCAATTAATACACGAAAACCAAAAATTTTAGCTGCGGATATTAAAAACTCTATTCTTAATCTTTTGCAAAAGATTTTTGTTACGCCATAGCACTTGACGAATTATGTGACATTGTTGATGATGAACAATGTCTGTTTTTGTAAGATTTATTGATATTGAGTGTCAGATTATTAGGGAAGAGTTGCTAGCAATATTGCCGCTGAAAGGTAACACTCGAGGTGTTTAGGATTAAACTTGAGAGGTCGCTGGTTCAATTATATCAGATAAATAATTATAACGAAAAATGCAATATTTGTTTATACATAAAATTAGCGAAAATAGCAACTATAAATTGTGAATCAGTTATGAAGTCAACTGGTTTACTCATTATTGTTGTTTTGTACAAAGAACAGGCTTACCCTTTGGTTCTATTGATGAATTCGTAAAAGGCTGAAGAATTGGTCGCTGGGCATCACGACGCCGGCCTGGGGCGCCGAGGCTATGGTTAAGACGAGACCGGTCAAGTGTGTTGCGTTTCGTTCACTGTGTTACGAAGAAGTGCGAATCTTGAGGGTTTGAGAGCGTTTCAGGCACAAACCACCCTCTGGTTGGATGATCAACATCTCGTAGGCCGGGCATGCCATAAATCAACCGCTTGTTTCGATCTTTGTATTTGAATCTTTATCTTGAATACAAAGGAAAAAGCCAAATTCTGCGTACTTCAACATGACAAATGACATAGCCAGTTTAAGTTTTACGAAAGACAACAGGAAACAATATAGTTCAAAAAGGTCTTTAAAATACAGCACTAAATTAGATCACATTACAGTACCGTAACAGAAAAAAATATTAACTGTAAAAATACGAAATGAATTCGCACCTACTTTCCCAAACACGAGGCGAAGATTCATTCAAAGTTATTGATGAATTAATTTTTAAATCTAACATCAATTATAATAAAATGATTTTGCTTTTTAGTAATAGGGCCCCAGCAATAATCGGTAACGAAAAAAGTGTAGTAAAGAGGATCATGGATAAAAATTCTTAAAGTTCTTAAATCTCTCTAAAAAGACTTAAAGAAGTCATGCAGAGTTTAGTGAAGTTAATTAATTTTATGAGATCTCATTCTGCTCTTCAACACCGATATTTCAAGGAGTTTTTTTCTGAATGTGATTCACCATAAAAAACGAGGAAAAAAACCAAAATGTTAGCATCTATTCCAAATAACAGAGATAGAGCTAGAAACGCCGAACAAAACTTCAGTATAGACCAATATAATTTTGAGGTAGTAAATAAGTTTACATATTTGGGTTCTCTCATAACAAACGATAATGACACATCTGAAGAAGTTAAACGGAGGGTACTGCTAGCAAACAAATGTTATTTTGGACTAAGCAAGCAGCTAAAAAACAGAAATTTAAGCCAGAAAACCAAACTAATAATATATCGAACACTCATCCTACCAGTGCTGACATATGGGTCAGAAACATGGACCATCTCCAAAACAGACGCAAATCTTCTGCTCGTCTTCGAAAGGAAGATACTAAGAAGA